GGGATCTGAACTTCAATGGGCAGGACAACCTCCATACCATATACCAGAGAATAGGGTATTCCCCTATTGACGTACGCGCTGAGGTGCGGTAACCGTGAAGAGAAAATGGTAACATCGCATGCCACTCTTTGTATGTCACCGTCATCTTCTGTATGATTTTATTAATGTTTTTGTTAGCACCCTCCACAGTGCCATTCATCTTCGGCCGATAAGGGGAAGAATTATGATGTTGGATCTTGAATTGTTTATAGAGTTCGGTGATCATTGTATTGTTGAGATTTGTACCATTGTCCGTGATGATTATTTCTGGCACACCATACCGACAAATCAGGTTATACTTGATGAACCGCGCCAAAACATTCTTGGTAACAGTAGAAAAAGAGGCAGCCTTAACCCACTTCGTGAAGTAATTAATGGCCACTAGGATGAAGCGGTGCCCATTAGAAGCGGTAGGTCTAATCTCTCTGATCATGTCAATGCCCCACATTACAAAGGGCCAGGAAGTCGTCAAGACATTCAAAGGAACTAGAGGTACATGCACTTTATCAGCGTATATCTGGCATTTGTGACAAGTTCGGGAATGTTGATAACAGCCCTCTTCCATAGTGGACCAATAGTATCTCACCTGTAGGATCTTTTTAACCATGGTGTGTCCACTAGAGTGGGTACCAAAGGCACCTTCGTGTAAATCTACCATAATCCTCTCTGCTTAGCTCTTGTATACGCACCAAAGTAAAGTAGAGTCATTGTTGCGCTTGTAGAGGATTCTATTAACGAGGAAGAACTTTACGGAGAACCTTCTCAAAAACTTCTTATCATGGACAGACGCCCCCTCAGTGTATTCTTGAGCCTTGAGATACCTTTTCACTTCATGAAACCAAGGTTTGTCTGCTACCTCTTCAGTGTCGATCTCATAGCAGTATGCTGGTTCATCCAACCTCTCAATAGTGATTCAGAGAGCCTCGTTGTCCCATCTAACCTTGAACATGGATGACATAGTAGCTAGCACATCCGCTAACTGGTTCTCTTCTCGTGGAAAATGTTCAAAGGTAATCCCTTCAAAGTGTGGAAGCAATGTCAGCACAAGTTCTTTGTAAGGGATAAGATTCGGGTGCTTTGTGTCCCACTCTCCTTTGATCTGACTTATTACCAAGGCCAAATCCTGGAAAACACTAAAAACTTGATCCTCGGGTCAATAGCAGCTTTGAGACCCATGATACATGCTTCATACTCTAACATATTGTTGGTACAGTTGAAACAAAATCTGGAGGTAAAAGGAGTATGACAGCGCCCAGGAGATATGATTACAGCACCGATGCCATTTCTGAGTGCGTTAGAAGCTCCATCAAAAACCATAGTCCATCGGGATCCTTCCTCAGGTCCTTCATCCAGTCCAGGTTCTTCACAGTCAGTCACTAACATAATATTCTCATCCGGGAATTCAAAGTTCATGGATTGGTAATCATCCACAGCCTGATGAGCCAAATGGTCAGCTAGCACACTTCCCTTGATTGCTTTCTGGGTCGTGTATTGGATATCATATTCGGCTAAGATCATTTGCCATCTTGTTATTCTTCCGGAGAGAGCGGGCTTCTCAAAAATGTACTTGATTGGATCCATCTTAGATATCAACAAAGTAGTGTGGGTCAACATTAAAGAAACAGACAATCTGTATTTCTTTTGATAATTCGATAAGTAATACATGAAAGGTATATATAGAATACAAGGGACAGATCAATAATCCTAAATCTGGCCTGAGAATCAGAGCAATAATTCTCCCTTTAAATGCTAATTCTAAATATGGTAGAAGACAACTAATTACTAATTACTAATAGCTAATTACTCATATATTATTTACAATGAATGATGAGCTGTATAATACAGAATCAACAGATTTTGTACTTATCTCTTTAATAACTTCCAACACTCCCCCTCAAGTTGGCATGAATATGTCATTCATTGCAAGCTTGCTCACCATACCATCAAATTGTCTCTTTGGAAGACTCTTTGTGAGAACATTTGCCACTTGACTTGTGGTAGGTACATAGGACATACAAATTTCACCACTGTCAATTTTTTCTTTAATGAAGTGCTTGTCCACTTAAACATGTTTCGTTCTGTCGTGTAGGACAGGATTATGGGCAATGGAAATAGCTGCCTTATTATCACAGTAGACTTTAATTGGTGTTGGGATAGAGACCTTCAATTCCTCCATGAATTTTTTAATCCATAATACTTCACAAAAACCGTGGGCCACTGAGCGGAATTCAGCCTCTGCACTGCTTCTAGCTACAACATTTTGCTTTTTACTTCTCCATGTAACTAAGTTTCCACCTATAAAAGTACAATAGCCTGAAGTAGACCGCCTGTCATTTATATTACCTGCCTAATCAATATCTGTGTAAGCCTCCACTTGTATATGCCCTCTGCTTTTGAACATCAACCCCTTCCCTGGAGTTCCTTTTAAATATTTCAATATTCTGAAAATAGCTTCAAAATGAGTAGGTCCTGGTGCATGCATAAACTGACTAATTACACTTACTGCAAAGGCTATATCAGGCCTTGTAAGAGACAAATAAATTAGTCTACCGGCTAGTCGTTGGTAGCGTTCCCTATTTACCACTTCATCTTTAGATGCTGCCTTTAGTTTTACATTGGGATCCATTGGTGTTTCTGCTGCTTTACACCATGTCATCCCTGTTTCTGTGAGTAAATCAAGTATATATTTGCGTTGGTTGAGAAAGATTCCCTCCTTAGACCTTGCGAACTCCATCCCGAGAAAATACTTTAATTTTCCAAGGTCCTTGATATCAAATTCAGCTTCAAGTCTTCTCTTTAGATTACCTATCTCGTTAACATCATCTCCTGTCATGATAATGTCATCGACATACACAATTAAAATAGCAAGCTTACCTTTATCTGAATGTTTAAAGAACAATGTGTGATCTGCTTGACTTTGGGTGAAACCATGTTTCTTAACAACACTTCCAAATCTTTCAAACCAGGCCCTTGGTGATTGTTTTAATCCATATAAGGATTTTTTTAATTTGCAGACTTTGTCCCGTCCAAGATTTTCTTCAAATCCAGGAGGTAAACTCATATATACTTCTTCATGTAATTCTCCATTCAAAAAAGCATTTTTAACATCAAATTGATGTAGTGTCCAATTGAAATTTACTGCAAGAGAGAGAAGAATTCTGATGGAATTAATCTTAGCAACAGGGGAAAAGGTCTCTTGGTAGTCTATACCATGAGTTTGAGTAAAACCTTTGGCTACTAGCCTTGCTTTGTACCTTTCTACATTTCCATCAGCCTTGCATTTCACTGTAAAGACCCATTTACATCCAACTGCCCTTTTGTTATGAGGTAGATCAGTGATACTCCAAGTATTATTTTTTCTTAGAGCATCCATCTCTTCTTTCACTGCTAATTTCCAATTCGGGTCACCTAATGCTTCTTGAACAGTTCTGGGCACAAACAAATTCGAAATCCTAGACACATATGCCTTGTGAGTGTGTGATAAATTGTCATATGACAAATAATTAGACATGGGGTGTTTAGTGCATGTTCGAGTACGTTTCCTATCAGCAATTAGGATATTAAGGTCAGAAATTTTTTTTCTCAAAGCAATAGGAAGATTAATATTAGGAAAAGACAAATCCAATAAATCATTGGAAGAGTAAGATGGATTACCAGATGAAGAACTAGAAGGTGAAGTTTCAGTAGGACCTTCACTTGGTAAATCAGATTGGATTTTTTCCGGAGCGACAATTGGATTTGTAATACCTTTGTGAAACCTTTTTCAGACATACACTTGAATTTGAGGATTATGATCCTCAGTCAATTTTTCTCCCCCTGTTTCAGACATGATATTATCCGACAATTCAAGATTAAGCATTCTGGGTTCTATTATCTTTGTATCTGGATGATTTGTTGTCACAATATCATCCAGTGCAGGTAAAGTTTCCCAAAAATTATCTTCTTTATCAACACAATGATTCTCCCCCTGAAGATGATTTTTATTAAAAAAAGGTTGATTTTCAACAAAGCTGACATCCATACTTTCAAATAATTTCTTTGTTATTGGGTTAAAACATTTGTAACCCTTTTTATTTGAAGCGTAGCCAAGAAAAACACATTTTTCAGCTTTGGGATCCAATTTGGAACGGAAAGTATTTGGGATGTAGACATAACAAAGACAACCGAAAACTTTAAGGGGAAGATCCGCAATGATGCGAGATGTGGGAAAATAATTTTGTAAAACTTGCACAGGAGTCTCATATTTTAAAACACGAGATGGCATTCTATTGATTAGGTAACAAGCAGTTAATAAGGCATTTCCCCAAAGATATTTAGGTACATTCATAGAAAACATAATAGCTCTAGTAACTTCGAGGAGATGTCTATTTTTTCTTTCAGCAATACCGTTTTGTTGTGGAGTATCACGACAAGTGGATTGATGAATGATCCCCTTAGTTACTAGGAATGTACTTAGATATTTGTTGAAATATTCAGTGCCATTGTCAGACCTTAGAATGCCAATCTTAGTTTGAAATTGGTTTTCAATCATTTGAAAAAAATCTTTAAACCTTTGTTCCACTTCAGATTTTTTTTCTAAGAGATAAACCCAACACACACGTGTATGGTCATCAATAAATGTCACAAACCATTTTTTTCCAGACATAGTTTTAAGTTTTGAAGGACCCCAAACATCACTATGGATTAAATAAAAAGGTTGCGAAGCTGAATAAATTTTTGAAGTAAAAGATACACGATGATTTTTAGCCAAATGACAAGCTTCACAATGAAATTGTGAGGAATTTATCTCTTTGGCAAATTTTGGAAATAAATACTTAAGATAAGGGAAACTAGGATGACCTAATCTCTTATGCCATAATATAACTTGATCTGAAACGGGAGGTAAACTTGCACTGTTTAAACCAAAAAACATTGCATTTCCTAGAGGAGTTTCATCAAAGTAGTACAATCCATTCATCTCTCTAGCAGTTCCAATCGTCTTCCCCGAGTTCTGGTCCTGAAAAACACAAGTGGAAGAACGAAAAATCACAGAACAATTAGTGTCCTTAGACAATTTATGAACAGATAGAAGACTACAAGCAAATTTAGGAACGTGTAAAACAGATTGCAAAGTAATTTGCTCTGAAATTTTTATGCTGCCTTTGCCTGCAATACTAGAATAACTACCATCAGCAATCCTTACTTTTTCAGACCCGGAACAAGGGAAATAGGAACTGAATAAATGAGAGCAATTGGTCATATGTTCAGATGCCCCTGAATCTATTATCCAAGGGTTGGAGTGGTTTTGGACAGATAATGCCCAAGAATTCTTACCTGTTTGTACCATAGTTGCAACAGGAACATTAGGTGATGAATTGAACTTTAGAAGTTTAAAAATATGATCCATTTGCTCCTTAGTAAATGGAGACGAGTCAGCCTCATTGGTTGTAGACATAGGGCGATCACCAAACCTTCCAGCCTTTCTATTATTTGGCCTACCATGTAGTTTGAAACAGTTTTGCCGAGTGTGACGATTTTGACCACAGTAGTCGCAAACTAAATGATTCTTGTCACCACCTCGTGGATTAGGGAAAGGTTTGCGATTGACTTGAGGAACGGCCAATGCAGATCCTTCGAATGGTGGAGGGACAATGGCAGCCTTTTTTTCAAGCATCACCTGCCTGCGACTCTCTTCGCGACGCACTTCAGCAAATACTTCACCAATTGGAGGGATAGGGTTCCTGCCAAGAATTCAGCCACGAACCTCATCAAACTCAATATTTAGACCTGCAAGAAACTTGAAGACACGACGAACATCCACCATCTTCTTGTAGTGTTTGCAGTCCTCGGTGACTTCCACTCATATACATTGAACAGATCCAAATCTTGCCAAATACGCTTGAGACAATTGAAGTATTTGGTAACAGAATCTTCAGCTTGATGAATTTCTCCAAGCTGGAGAGTTAATTCATAAATTTGGGATTGGTTGTCCAAATCGGAATACATCTGAGAGACACTTTCCCAAAGATCTTTTGCAGTAGCATAACAAAGATAGTTTGCACCTATCTCTTCAGTCATGGAATTGACTAGCCATGTCATGACCATGGAATTTTCAGCATCCCAACTATCGTAGTCTGCACCTTCCTTGTCTGGTTGTTTCTTGTCTCCAGTGATGTAGCCAATTTTTCCTCTCCCCCTGAGATACAAACGGACAGACTGTGACCACCGAAAATAATTAGGACCGTTCAGTCGAATTGTTGTGATCTGAACAGGGTGATTTTCATGGTATGTCCTGACAGATTGAGGTATTTCAGTTTTAGGTGAAGAATGTTTGGGTGAATGCTGGGACTCGGTATCAGACAAGTGATCAGACATTACGTGGGATGGAAAAAAAACACGGAAGCAAAAGAAGAAAAAAAAAACTAAGGAATTCTTCCAGCAACTGATACCATAAAGAAACAGACAATCTGTATTTCTTTTGATAATTCGATAAGTAATACATGAAAGGTATATATAGAATACAAGGGACAGATCAATAATCCAAAATCTGGCCTGAGAATCAGAGCAATAATTCTCCCTTTAAATGCTAATTCTAAATATGGTAGAAGACAACTAATTACTAATTACTAATAGCTAATTACTCATATATTATTTACAATGAATGCTGAGCTGTATAATACAGAATCAACAGATTCTGTACTTATCTCTCTAATAACTTCCAACAAACATATACTGTCTCAGTCGGCGAGAAACCCATGCCAAAATGTAACAAGTTTTCTCGAGCAGTGATTATCTTATCTCACAGTCGGTAAATTTTTTGCTAAGATAGTATATTGCATGCTCTATTCGATCGGACTCGTCATGCTGCCCCAAGACACACCCCATTGAATTATATAACACTATTAAGTACATTATCAAAGATCTTCCCTCAACCGGAGGCATCAGAATTGGAGGCTCTTGAAGTTATTCCTTGATTCTCTCGAATGCGGTCTGGCATTTGTCTTTCCACTTTACCACTTGATCTTTCTTCAGGAGTTTGAAGACTGGCTCACAAGTAACAGTTAAATGGGAAATGAACCTGGCAATGTAATTTAGGCATCCTAAGAAGCCTCTGACTTCCTTTTCAGTTTGAGGAGCCGACATCTCTTATATAGCCTTCACTTTTGCAGAGTCTACCTGAATACCCTTGTCATTGACAATGAAACTTAGGAGTTTACCAGACCTTACCCCAAAGGTGCACTTGTTCCAATTTAACCTCAGCTTGTATGTCTTCAACCTATCAAACAACTTTTGTAGATGATCAAGATGTTCTTCCTCAGTTTGGGATCTGGCTATCATGTTGTTGTACCCCAAAATTTTCCCTCTCAATTCTCAAGGGTTTTCTCACAAAGATTCTCAGGATTCAAGCTTGCACAAGTACATTGGGATTTTCCAGTACCAAAATTATAAGGAAACTGTCAAAAAGGGAGAAAACAGATAAAAATAACATTTTGACAAATTTGGAGAAAATAGGCCTCCTTCGATTCAGCCTTTCGATTGGAAAAGTGTGCTACCTGCATGCTTGCAATCGAAGGTCATGACTTGCTGGCCACATGTTCCCATGCAATGAAAACTCTTCGATTGGACAAAATAGCTGCCTACAAGCCTGCTTCGATTTGGACAAGTTTACTTCTTGCAAGCCTGCTTCGATTGGGCATATGCTGCCTGCATGTTTGTTTCGTTTGGATAAGCTTTGATGGGATAAAATAACCATCTCTATGCATCCTTCGAATCCACTTGCACCAAGGGCCTCTTGTAGACTTTTCCTCTCACAAGTTTCGTTTGACCCAAGAGATATCTTCATACAAGATTTGACTAAGTTCTTGCTTCCCTTGAAAGAACACCCTTCGATTCAGAAGCCAGGAACTTCCCTCACGCTAAAAGGAAATGACTCCCTTTATGTTTGTTTTGATACACATGCTTCGATTAGGCAACATGCTTCCTTCAAACACGAGCTTTTGATTAGGCAATATGTTTGCTTCGATCCAAGCTTCGACTGGGCATTAGCTTCCTCCGAGTAAGTTTGTTTCAAACACAAGCTTCGACTGAGGCAAGGGCTTCCTTTGAACAAGTGCACTTCGATCTTATTCCTGCATTCGACTCAAGACCAAATCTCATTTTCTAGGTGTGATACGGTGGCCAGAACCGGGACGTGGTTTCCCTATTTAGTTAGGGAAATATTGCTGGTTTGCGTTTTGTGTTTGTTTTCGCAAAATGTCGCGGTAAGCAAGAGTCACCACCGTCTTTTATTTTATCCAACAAGGAATGGAAAAAGGCACAGAAAAATTCCTTTTTCGAGATATTTCTGAGTACGGAGGGTAGATTATAGAAAGGGAAGGTATTAGCACCCTTTCTATTCGTAGTTATCTACGGGCTCTTAGGTACTTGCTCATCATTTTCAAAATTGTTTTCTTTGTGTTTGTGGGTTTTGAAAAGTATTTGTTTTAAAATCGATTTAACTCTTGCTTCTGTCTTCAAGAGTGTAATGAAGTGTTTTTGAAAACTTTTTTTGTAAAGGAGTGTAAGTGTGAAAAATTTGTTTGGAATGAGCAAGTACTTAAGAACTAATATACCTACTCGAAAAAATAATCGTTCTATGTTCGTTTCCTTTAGACAACGCTTTCCCACTATTAGTGAGTAGGTAGCACCTTCGTTGGATTTTGAAGGGTCAATTCGAAAGGGACGTACGGTCACTAAAGCAACGTTAGGACGTCTTAGTAGTAACCCTAATGTCTTAGATCATTTATCCGAGGAAACAATATCTGAGGCAACCTTTCCGAGGCAACTTTGATCTTTAGACGAAAGGGCGACCACTAAAGCATCCTATACTCAATGACCGTTTACCGAAGGCAACCAAGTGGGAGTGTACCTTGGAGTGCGCATGTGCGAATGATTCAATTTCAGTTTATTTATCTTTGCACATTTAGGGTGATCTAACTGTTTTAAAATTAGTCATACATTCTTGTTACGCAAACCCTAATTATTCATACATCTAACAGTTAATAATTTGCAAAATTTAAAAGTGCGGAAATTAAACTACGCTATTACAAGGCTTCGAGTATTTACATAGCCAAAAACAAAACCTTTGAAAGTAAAAGCGATAAATGTAAAAGTCCTAATTAAAACTATTACAAACTGTGAGCAGATACAATAATTGTATAAAAAAAAAATAATGCGCGCGATGACAAATTAGATCGAATGCGAAACTAGGGTTTTGACCGTTCTATCCTAATTTAAAATAAAAATGTTTTTTGTTTCTTTTAATAAAAGAAATGAGTTTTCTAAATTAAATGGGAAATTAATTAAATTAATTAATAAAAATAATTAAATGACCTATTCTTGGTTTTTTGGGTTATTTTAGGAAAAAAATAAAATACAATTAAGTTAGTAATAAAACCTATTTATTCTAATTAATTTTAATTACTTGCAAAAATAAACTAAAGTTATCTAATTAATCAAACCTAATTAAATTAATTAATTTATTGCTAAAAATAATATTCTAATTTTAATTGGTCATAAAAATACTTTTGGTGATTTTTTGATAAAAAGAAAATAATTTTTGGTTAGTAATTAAATTAAATAAAATAAATAAATTAAATAAAATAAAATATAAACAAAGATAGAGATGTTGGGCCTGAAATTAGGGGGTGCAAGAAGCAATTTCCTGGGCCCATTTGAGTGATACCCATTTGACCTTTTGTGATCCTGTATGGCACGTTTGACTTGGCTCACGGTGCACCTTCCTGGATGGCCATCAGATTTGGCCATCCAGCCACTTGGCATGATTGATGATGAAGACCTATGGTGGTCTTCTGGCTTATGAACACCCTTCATTATCTGAAAGAAAACAATAAAATAGCAAATGCTGGACGCAGGGGTCGAACCCCTGACCCCCAGCCTTCCAATGCCTTAAGCGTTGCCTGGCTGCCACTGGGCCATTTTATTTCTGTTGTACATAAGATAAATAATAAACATAATATAAGAAACAAGCGCAGTAATGGAAATCTAGCGCGAAAATTCAAACAAGCCAATAGGAGGGTGCCAGCAAATCGTTTCCTTTCTCTCTCTGTGGGTAAAAGTAAAACACTTTTACCTACAGACGTTTTGTCCGTCGCTATAGGTCGTGTTCATTCCAAAATCTTCTACGGGTAACATAAATGACATCTAATGTCATGGTTGTGTTCGTCTTGTCCTCCTGAACGTGATAGTACAACTTACAAAGGCTAATTTTCCGTGCAAGAAAAAACCCTAAAACGGAGCTACGAAACCTAGCAATGGTGATTTACAATATAGGCCATATAAATGAAATTGAATGATGCAGAAAGTTTGCATATGTTCCATAGATCAAGAATATACAATTAATTCATCCTAATAATTCTTATATTATGAGATTCGAATTCAAGAACAGGGCTATGTCGTGAGCGACTTACAGAGCTTTTTGGGGCTTGAAAATGCTTGGTTTCAATGGCTTTAGCTTGCTGGGAACTCCAGGAAGGGATTGAGATCGTTCAAAGGTCCTGAAACTGCTTCTAAGTGCAAATTCGATCTCACACTTTTCTTGCTTTTTTTTCCTGATTTTGTTCTGCCTCTTACGCCTGTCTCTAGTCTGTTTTTAGGTCTGACCTCGTTCTATATGTATGAGTGAATGCATTAGGATTGATAACTGCATCCAATCTTCCTCCATCAATGATTTTTGATTTGATTTGATTCACTTTTAAGATCTTTCCAAACATGGCCTTTTTCAATCTTTTTGTCCACTCTATGCATTTACACGAGTTTGAATGATTGGTATCTGTAATTTAAGACCTGAAACAATCACCAAATCTTTAGTTTTCAATATTTCTGATTTTATATGATTTGTTTTGATTTAAATTGAATTAATTCAAAATAAAAATCAAAATAAAAAATAAAAATAATATATGGACAAGTGGAAAAGGCTAGAGCTCTTAGGCTATGTTTCCAACTCAAAACAAGTGAAAACGATTGGGCCCATTTGGCAAAATTTGAAGTTTTAGGGATAGTTGACTTTTGGCAATTTTGCAAAAAAAGGTCAACTTCACCAATGCATAACTTCCTCAATTTTGACTCTTTGGAGGTGTTATTTAACTTTATAGAAATCTTGATATGTCCCCTAAGCAACCCTTTTGGTCTCATCTCAATTTGATATTCCATGCTCATGTATGAAGCTTGGCAAAAAAGGTGTTTTTGTTGACTTTTCAAAATGACCTATAATGTCCAAATTCCTAACTTCTTGTGAGTGCATATTTTGAACTTGGGATCTGAAGATGGATTGTATATAATTGCATCCTCTTCAAGATGAGCTTTGTATGGGTCAT